TCATTCCCTTCATCCTTCCTTTAAGCGCACCGCATGAACCGGCTTAACCTGTTCGCAAAGACGAGCCGAGTTGGTGCATTATGTACGTTTCGTTAGAGCGACGAGCTCGCTCGTGCCGGAGACACGGCTATACGCGCGCGCAGAACAAGAAAGCAGTTCGCATTGAAGAGAGTCCTCGTCCGCCCAACTTCCCCTTTCTCCTCGTCTCATTGAAGAGCCGATGAAACTTATAAGAGATACTCTCGTCACACGCGATAACTACTTCGACGGGACGGCGAATTCCAGCTGAAAACATCCCGAGCGTCGCCGAATCGTCAAATCAAAATCTTCGTCGGAACTTCAATCAGTAATTATGATTATATGCGTGAGAAGATGGATTGGAATGTTACAGTCGAATAATTTAATTAGTGAGAAAATACGAAGGAAACGAGTCAAAATCCGGATGTCACAAAAAGTTAGAGATGAAGCGAAATTACGTGAAAATACTTTCTAATTATAGTAAAATGGTCAAAGAACTTTCTCAAACTTGGTCCTTTTTGATCGGAAGATTTAAATGTTTCATTCATTGTAGTAACTTCGAAAATCTTTCCGAAATTTTTGAGTACTTAAGTCAATTTCATGCGATATAGAATTAAATGATTAACTATAAAAACATAATAAAAAATATATTAAATAAATTTTGTAATTTATTCACATAAGAGTAAAAGAAAATAAAGAAATTGATTTATGTTTAGTTATTATCACATACGTTAGAATCATCACAATTCATATCATAATTCATTCTCACCATTATTGTAATTAAATTTGCAACAAAAATGAAAGCATAAAAATGGTGAACTTTCTAGAGGCGAAAAGAATTTATCTGGCGAATCCTAGCGCCAATTGAACATGGGCGTTTTCATCATCCATCAATTTCTTATTTCATTTAGGTCGGAAAATTGATGTGCGCTCGTCCTTTTTCGGACTCACAACGTTCACAAAAAGCTTCTTTCCAAGATCGATCATGCTCTATTATTTAAACTACGGTTACTATGAATAATATTTAAAAGAGTATATATGTAGTTTTACATCATCCTGAATGCAGATTTGTGGTAAACTGATCAATCACAAATCTAGAAACTAAAACTGTTTATCTTCAGCAATACTTTTACGTAAAACTGAATCTCAATTTAGAGAACGCATGTAAAATATATCAAAATATAATAAATATTTGTCGAAATATTTTCAATAATACTATTGTATATTGAACATTATTCTACAATTTATATTAAATATTAATAATTTCCTATATTAATTGTATATTCAGAGATCAATATATAACCCCTTAAAATTGTTCTCTCGAAATTGCAGTACGGATGTGACGCCGGAAACGTGCGTGTCATAATTTTACGAGCTAAGCAATATAATGACGATAATTCTGATAATGTCACAGAGACGGATACGCATTAATCCGGACTTGCATGCCATTATCTTGCTGCTATGTCTAGCAAACTGACATCATCAATGCAACACACGCAGTTCCCCCAAGATGCAATAGGATCTCCTTCATGCACAGATTATGCCCCAAGCGACAATAAACGAACCAATTATATAGGTTTGCGTTCCAAATGTACCAATAATACCAAAAATCTAATTCACGTTACGTATGCTATGGTAGTATAGATTTTCAACATTGTCAGCAACATTTTGGAACGCTTTTTTGATGAAATTCATACAGTTTGATAATCAACAAAAATTTTACTTTCGTACATTAATGGAATTAGAAAATATCTCGATTGCTTTATGAACTTTATACTTATTTAATAAAAATAATCTTAAATAAATAATAAAATAATTTATAATTTATGAAATACAAAATAAAATAATTTATATAATTGCATTTTAGCACCTACTGAACTAGCTTTTTGCTAAGAAAATTCTTGAATTCTTAAAATAACAGTTTGCTGCTATTTTAAGAAAACCTATAACACGAAGATTATAACAAGTAGAAAAGAACACGCATTGGTCCGCCATTGACAAGTACGCATTGTTCGTCAATTTCCAGAGTATTTTCGTGGTCATGCGATGTTTATGTCGGCACGGATGATATTAAACTCTCGGAAAATTCGAAGGTACTCGTATTTTTTCTGAGCTAGCTCGTTATAGTCTTTCTACAGAATAAACATTCACGTGCGCAAACATACGAGTACGAGTACATCGGAAACGTATTTGCGAAAGTGGCTGAAATTTGCAATCTCGTGCGCTTTGTAGGCACCGTGCTCTACCCCTACGCCCAATATTGTTTTTCATAACACGACGTGAAATGCGCGGCGATGACATCTGATCGTCGATCGAGAATCAATAAATGCCTGTCTTATATCGGACACGAAAACATGCATTAACGCGCGGCACATCTGCGGTGCATAATTATAGGTCAATGTTTACAATCAATAAACGTTGCGTTCTACTGGCACGAAATTAGTCTTGAATGTTCGTTCTGTGTACATAATCGCTAATAGTCATTAATTACCTACCTTGTCAGCAACGTATTATTGAATTATCGTCAAGGAATCTGCAGTCGAGTGTTCGCTTTGCTTTTACACATTTGATAGACAGAAAAATTGCTCGACAAAGAAGTCACAGAATCTATTTCAACTATATACTTGTAAAGCAAATATACTGTGAAAAACATAATCGATAGTTATTCCCTTATCCTACAGAATTGATATTCTACCTTATAAGATTACTAAACACTTCCCCGTCGCCAATTGTAAATTAAAACATCAATTATAGTTGGATATACAGATCACAGAATTTCATTCTAAAACAATTACTCCAGCCCAAGTCGGCGTGCACACATTCGATGTGCAGCAGAGTAGCATACAATCCGCTTATAACGCTGCAGCTGAAATTTCCTGCATCGAAACCGGCGAGCCATCAGCTCGACCATTATTTGTTCGAAGTCCTGTAGCGGCAGCAGGCGCATTTCGATTCTACCGGATTCCCGTCGCGACATTTACTGCGCGTATTTTCCTCGGCAGCAGCTGGCACAAGACCACTTTGTACAGCGGCTCGAATCATACGCGATGCCTCTACATACGCGAACGCGTGTTTCCGCGTCGTTTTCGATGCAAGAGTGCAGCATTAGCTTTAAGAAAACACCGAAAAGTTACCCGAAAAATTGCAAGTCTACTTCGCAAAGCAAAAATAAATGTCAAACTGTAGAAATTAATGGAATATTAAAAGGATTTTATAAACTCCGAAAAAGACGTATTAGCAGATTATAGTTCACTCAACATCTTAATTGACTTATTTATTTACTTATTTTCGTATTAATATATAAAGCATAATTTTAAGCTGAGTTCTAAAATTAGAAGCTAATTACGCGCTTCTTTTATTTTTTAAATAAAAGTGATATAATTATTGTGATTTTATTTTCTACATTATATTGCGTTATGTTTTGTTATGGTTATTACGACAAAATGTGCAACGCGCTGATGTAATAACTGTTAGTATCTGATAATGTTCGACGCGATCTGCTTCTGACGGACGCCAACAGATGTAATGAGTTACAGCATAATCAAAGCCTTGGTACCGAAATGGTTAATGCACTGGATGCAAGCGGCTCTTTGCAATGTATTGATTGCGTGCGTGCGTGCGTATATTCCTTGGTATATTCTGTTAAGTATCCACCAAAAGAGCATTTTTAACAAACGTTTGCAAACATTTTTTGATCGTGCGTGCTTGACGTTTTCATAAAAAATTCATCGTTGATAAACATTTGCGAACGTTCGCACACATTTTGCGCAGTTGGTGGATACCCACCTTAATGTTAGCCCCGCAATCCCGCAACGGCTAGTAAACCTAAGGGACCCGAATACGTCGGTTGCATATTAGATGTACCTCATCGCACGTGATAAACCGATGATATAAATTCTCTCTATGACGAGAGAAAAGCGCAATTAACGAAACACATAAAAAAAAAAAGAAGGGAACGAATTGGATGTACGAACTATCGCATCATAATTCTCAATATTCGCGACGGGAACTGAACGAAACAGCCACACTCGCATTCCACATTTGAATACCGCGATGCATGCAACGCGTACGAACCATTTAAATGCTAAGCAGCAGACATGCACAGCTCGCGTTTAATTATTTTTCTTTTTGCGTTCCTGGTAATCCACTGTGTGGAAACATTGCGGAACGTTAAATGCGTTTTGTGCGCGATGTCGTTAATTACTCCAGCATTTGCCTTCCGCCGTAATACTACGTGATAATCAACTACTACTAAATTCTGTAAAAAAAAATCAAACTGAAAAACAAGAGAGGGCGAAATCAATCAATGAATCGAAATAATAAATTAGCTATTCCTGATGCTATATGCATATAACAAAATCCTGCAATTAATATTTCTTTCAAACAAAATTTTTTAAGTAATTATGTGTGAAATATTTTCTTATTTTTATTTCCATTCTCAAATTAATATAAATCGTAAGGATTCAAATAAAAATAAAAGATACTTAGTGTCTCTACCATATATTTGCATGTATGTTCGCGACGCGAGTGCTCGAATTAACGAACAACTTGCATAAATCGTCCAAGACATTCCAGACACCGTTACGAGAGATAAATCACAGAGGGGAAAAAAATCTTGAAAATTTACACGTATGCGCATAACTTACAGGTGAAGTTAAAGCAACAGTGCTTAAAGCAAACTTCTACGCGCGAACACGGAGTTTCAAAACATAAATGCGAACATAATATCAAAATATGACACACACACACACACACATATGCACACACGCACGCGTGGCTTTCGTTGCGAATGTGGGTTACAAAAATATCGTCGTACACACGGGAATTTTGCCGTGAATAACACGACGTCGCGTAAACGACGAAATAATCGGCGTGATAACGTGTAATCGTGTGATGTTTTCACAAATATAAATATTAACAAATCGCGGAGAAACTAATGCATATCTACGTAATCAAAACATTAATATTGTATATTCACTCACCGGCCCCGATGCGCTGCCGTTGCCTTCCCGAATACCGCACGTCTGTAAAAAGAAAAAAAAATATACATACATTACAAACGTTGCATTTCAACAAAAGTAAAGAAAAAACGGGAGGTGGGCGTGAATCTGATATTTTATGACTCAAAACACACGCGCTTCGAAAGAATTTTTAATAAAAACACGTATATTCGTCTAAATGAGCAATTAGCATCTCGCACGAGTGGATGAAGCAAAAAGGAGCTTACCCGCCAGCCGATGCGTCGCCATTATATGCGCCACCTCGCCGATTGCTCCGCACCGTCACAGGCATACACTCGCGCGACCGACCGAGATATCACACGGCTAATTACGATCCCCGCTTTACGCTAATCAACACGACGCGACGCGACGCGACGCGACGATTGACGAACACGTCATTCCGCGCGACACACACCCGACGTTTATTGTACGCGGATCACCCCGACGCGACGCGACGAGCGAGCGACGCGAGACGCGTTTACATGTATCGCAATTCTCGCCAATTCGCGCGACGCCACCGGCTGCCGACACTTGCCGGGACTTCGCGACCGCGACGAATTCAAAGTAGCCGTTTTCCACGCACGCGAGGACTCGAGAAATCCCCGATCAATCCGATGGTCGACGCCAGACGCGCGAATAACGCGAAATTACACTCGTACAGGCGCGCGTCACCAACACTACAGACACGAGTTGCTTCCATGGACGCCCGCGCCGCGCCGCGCACCGGCCTGACCGGCCCAACGCCAACGAAATGACGGGCAACGACGCAACGCGACACGACAGCCGCGAATGTCGAGAGATTGATCGCGATCGCACTTGATTACAACTCCGCGACGATCGTCCGCCATCCGACGTACCACTATCGACACTCGCTTGTTACAGTAACGCCTGAGATACGCCGGAGTAAAACGCCCGACCGTGAGAACTGAGAACGCACGCGAGCGGCATAAAGTGACCCGCGAGTCCCGCGACTGCCGCGAAGTGAGCGCTAATACGTAAGACGACCGCGCGAGTCAAAAAAACAAACAAGGTGGCGCGCGCCACTACCCCTCTAGTCTACTGTGTTCGCTCACCGGTGACGAGTCCAAACCGAACGAATTTTAACCGTAATACAATGAGAAATAATATAAAATACTATATCGTTGAATAAATACCTTCTTGGTTTTATTCGCGTTATTTGTCTCCAAAATCAAACGTCGAATGCATAGAGTGATCCTTCGAAATATTCTCTTATTAATTTATCGTGGAATATATCTTTTATTAACAAAAATGTCACGTTTCTACGGCTTCTCGATCTTGAACATTATTAAATCACGAATTTTGAGAGTAGCAAAATCTTTCACTTTAATCGTTGAAATGCGACCGTAGTCAAAGGAGTATTTAAATTCGAAATTCCTTTACTTCTCTGTTAAATCTTAACGGTGGAAATAAAGCGAACGGAGAATGGGCGCAATTTGCCGCGTAAACCCTCTCGGTCTCAGTGCCGGCCGATAAAAATCGCCGATCCCTCTTCCTGTAGTTGCCGCGTTTTGTTCCTTTGTCGCGCGCAGACTGGCGCGACGGCCGTTTTAAATCCGCGGGCTCTCTCGCGTAGACCCGGAATAATAACTAGGATGGATGTTGCTTTTAAGGTCGATAAGACGGTGGCTTGCTGGTGAATGGAATGCAGGGGGTGGGGAATGAGGCGGTGGAAAGTAGATCGTTGGAACCGCCGCTCGAGGTAACTCGCAGCAATTTAAAGCGATTTAGCATCGCCCTCGCTGCCGGCCCGGCAAGGATTAATCGGATGGATGTGACTGAAAAACGCGTCGGGAATCTAGAAGATCCTCGTTTCTTGGCGGAAACCAAAGGAGCGAGGAGGTAGAGGCAAGAGAGCGAAACTTAAACTTTTCGATCTTATAAGAATCGCGCACCGTTTTCCGAACGTTTTCGGAACGGGCGAATTTAATTTGTTAGTCTCGAATATTTATTTCCCGGCCAACGCCGGATTAATTAATTACCGAAGAAACGAAGGTTCGTTCGTAACGGATGTGCTTGAATTGTTGAGTATCTTGAAATAAGGCGAAATCTCGAAACAGTTACATAAAATCCTCTTATCACATAACTAAATATCTTTTTTTTTTTAATAAGCGGATAGTTTATGTATAATTTATTTTCTTTTGAAAGGTTCTCTCTCTCTCTCTCTCTCTCTCTCTCTCTCTCTCTCTCTCGCCTTAATACCTTGTTGACCGAAAGCATACAATTTAAATTATCTTGCGAAATTGTTACAGCTTAAAATTGATCAAGTTTTTATTATAAAATTTGCATTTATTCTTCATTTTTTATCATTGATTTCTTTGTTTGTCTTTTATATATTATAAACAAAATTTTGTTCCTGAAATGTTGGTTTATTTGAAAAATTGCCGTAAGTTTTTGCATAAAAGGCCCAATTAACAGTGAGAGTTAAGAATTAATTTAAAAAGTAATAAAAGAGAATTAAATTTAAAAATTGCGGCCATAGGCGTTTAGTTTCTGCATAAAACGCCCAACCAACGGTGGGTTAAGAATTAATTAAAAAAATAACACAGGGGAATATATAAAAGTATTAAAAGAAGAGACACACCTCTCTCTTTGTGCATGCATGACATCTCCAATACGAATCGCATTATCTTTTTTTTGCAATTAATTTTTTTTATCGAGTCGTCAAGCTGTAGAATGAATATACATATCAATTTTCGTGCCTTGTATGCATTTCGTGTCTTTTACGTAATGTCGACATTTCCATTCAGAAACGTAGACAATGCTTCCAATGCAAGTTACATATAGTTTCGTTAAAATCAGTTTACTATTCGGAATGTGCCGAAACAATAACTGTATCGATCGCTACGCCGTGAAGCCACGAAACCGCACGGCGAAATTTTTACAGCCAGCCGGTGCATTGTCGTCATGTACGTTTCGGCTAAAAGCATCAAGTCCGAGCAACAATCGCACGCACGGGAGTGGGGGGAAGGGTGCGTGTATCGGCGACTGTATGAAGAACAAATATATGCGTCATACGATCTATTCATTGGTTGATGATTCTTTTGTCTGTCAAAGAGCACAATCGGCGTTTGACTTGTGCACGGCGCTGCACTCGTATTGTGAAAACTGTCGAATCCCAAAACATATTTTGCATTCCAGCGCACAAAGCAGAAACAAGTTTGAGAGTGATCGATGCTGTGCATACTGCATACATGGTACGTAATGCGCGAGCGTAATATCCAAAATTTAATTACGCGTCGTTTACCTCATTCATTAGCATTCCCGTTTCCATAAACTTCCGTCGAGCCACTCGTCGATAGCCGGTACTGGTACTCGATGAAATCTCGACGTTCGGCCAATTAAACAAATCGAAGAAATCATCGAACTTGATAAATATCGCTCATAAAACAACCTGCAGCTTGTGCACGTGATATATACTCGATGATATATGCAATTTGCATTATACGCGAGATAACAAACGAAGCTCGTAAATCAAGTGGTAAAAATTAACGTTCCTTTTTTTAGAAACGTTTCTTTTCTATTAATTCTGTACATTAACTGATGGACATTATATAAATTATTGATCAAAAACTAATTTTCTGGCATTTAATTACTTGTACATTTAAGTCTTGATGTGAAACAGAATCAATGCACTTATATTTTTTAAAATTTTTCGAAATATTCGACGAAAAATATTTCGACGACCCGATAATTATAACATAATTATTCACGGAATATTTTTCACGGACAAGCTTAACGTATAATATACAAATTTACTGAACGCTGATGTGTGATAATGTATCACCCTATCGATCATACACAGCGCGCTTGACTTTAAATACTTCACATATTTCATGAATTTGACTAGTATAGCTGCGCTAGCCGAACTTTATCGTATTTATGTTCACGATATAATATCCTCTATTAAGGATCACTCTTTCCAATGTCTGTTAACCTCCTAATCGACGGTTAATTTTTCAGAATAGCGAATAGAAATTGGCTATTTTGAAAATTAACCGCGTCAGTTATATTAGAGATTAACAGACGTTGGAAATAGTGACTCACGACAATTAATTTTCAAAATCTGAATAGTTAAACGTCGGTTGGAAATAGTGACTCTGAATTAAACAATTCAATCGTATTAGATATTTGAAAAAAAGCTTCCTTTATGAGGAAGCAAAATCAGTAACGTTTCTCTTAAAGCCAATAAGTTATAATTTCTTTAATGAATATATATTGGTTATTGAGGCTTATTAACGAAATAATATTAAAACAGTGCTTTGTAACTTAAAAATAGAAAAATTATATATGAATCGTTTCGTTTTCGGAAATATAAGTATTCGAGTTCAGAAGCGCCATTCTTCTAAAAAAAAAAAAAGAGTCGATGTATTAAAACGCATATTTCCTGCAATACAAGAATACACGCGAGTATCGCGAAAATATGCGAGTCATATATTCTTGACATTGCACATTGACATTTCGCCATTCACGCCGCAATATCGAATAGCTCGTGCGGAAAAGGGCGTACGCGTATTGTTCACACTGCGAAAATAATATATAGACGTTTATTCATTTCACGCTTCCGGTGGAATCCCCCGCTGAAAGATATCTCTGCGAGCGCTTTGCCGTTACCTTTCCTTTGATATACGACTTACGTACATTAAAACGTCATTCAACGCGGAAGTCCATTTTATACCATACGTCAGGTCAGCGTACACGGTTTATCCTAACTGTCCAGTCTTGTGTGCCGCGTTCGCCAACTTGTCTTTACTGATACGTCGTGCAGAGGGATGAATAGGGCGAGAATGCGTTTTGCAAACCTCTTCCTGTTAAGCGAAATTTTCAACACGGCACGAATGTCTCGAAGCTTTATTCCTAAGCTTTCGGGATTATCCGTAATAATATTAAGCACCATGAAATCCACTTGGTCCACGCAGTATGACGCAACCTGATACCGGCATCTTCGCCAGTTGATCCGCTTAGTTTACGCCAAGTCAACCTCGAATAGCGACATTTTAAATCTTTACACTTCCGACGTAGATTTTCTTGATTCAGACACACCGAAACAGTGCCAAACTTTCTTTAATATATTTATATAATTTCCAAATTTTTTACTATCATATACCATATTTACACATTAATGCGGTATGAGTAATGTTACATATAAGTTCCTCGATATTTTTATGATTCTTTTAAATTTTTATAATATATTCACAGATTACAATATTGACAAAAATAAGAACATAACTTTGATATGTATTTTATTATACTTTAGCTTCCATATTTTTATTCCGATAGAGAATGTGCGAATCAAATATTTGGTTGAAATAAAACTCGAAATTTCTGAATAAAATATACCGCTGAAAATGATATTTTGTAATATGTAATAAGCTAATTTAAATATAAATAACATGCATTTTTATAAATATCCAGAACTTTA